GGCAGCATCGGAAGGGCCGGGAAGGCCTGGAACGCACCGCCAGCAGCCGAGGAAGGGAGGGGCCCCCCAGGGGACGGGAGAGGATATGGGGCGTCTGCTGGGGCCCGCTGCCCATAAAAGGCAAGACAGGAAGAGTCAGCTTCAGAAAGAGAAGGGATTTCCTACTATTCACATGTTGGCCGGTAAGTGAAAAGCTTATTCTTATTCGAGCAGGAAAATACTGTACTGTAAATTAAAAATCCCGATGTGCAGTGAAGCAGGGTTTTATCCTTGGAAACATTTCTCTTTATCCTTCTCTGATAAAGGAAGCTATTTTTTTTTCCTTCCTCCCCACAGAGAGCTGTAAGGTTAACAAGCTGCGGATGGAAACAGGCACCCTCTTGGGGCCACGTGTGAGGCCACGCTTCTCGGGCCCCACTTCATGATCAGCGCCCCACCTTCGCGTCCGCGTCCGCAGGCCTGGAGTCACCCCCACGTGCACATAGCTGGTTATATTCTGCCCTTTTCTCAGAAGTGAAAATTCCAAGTTCAGGAAAGCTTAGTAAGAGTCTCAGGCCTTGAAGTGCATTCTGGCCGCAGCCGCGGTATTTGAGCAATGTGTATTCAAGTCTGGACGCGTTCTATCCACCTTTTCAGACTTCAGGTTCCACCACCGACCCTGGATCCCACACGGGCTCCAGGAGTGATTTCAGGAAGGAGACATGATGAGCAACCTTCCGTCCTCACAGGGAGCAAAGTTGGTTCTGGCCTGTTGCAGATCCCACTGAAGCCTAAGACCCAGAAAAGTTCATTAGAAATAGTACTTAACAAACGTAAATATTAGATCTTCCTCTGCCTGATGTAGTAAACACTCAACTGTTCTTCTAAGACCCGACTTCATTTTTTATTAAATGAGATTTTTATTAAAAGATACCTGCTTCTGTAAGAACGTCGCAGGGGGAGGGGTGTTGAGCAGTAAGCCTCCCGGGCTACTGTACAAAGAAACCCCCCGGGGAGGGTGGTCACTGAAGCTCCAGGAGGGTCCGGGCCAAGCCTGGGACTCTGCATTTCTCTCAAGCTCCCAGGTGGAGCTGGTTCAGGTCGAGGACCTCACTCGGAGCAGCAATGATGTAATGGAACACGGAAGCTTCAGAACCGGCCCACTCCCCAACCCGACTTCACGATACTGGGCTCCTTCCAGAGCCCCCGCTGTCTCCTCTCAAGTGGGGGTGACAGTTGTCACGTGTTTGGCATGGGGGTAAAATAAGATAAACCGTTTTTTCAAACCAAGACGGGGGCGCCTGGGCGGCTCAGTCAGTTGAGCGTCAGACTTCAGCTCAGCTCATGATCTCCTGCTTCGTGAGTTCGAGCCCATGTCGGGCTCATGGCTGTTGGTGCAGAGCCCGCTTCAGATTCTCTGTCCCCCTCTCTCTGTCCCACCCCATCTTGCACTCTCTCAAAAATAGAAACGTTTTTAAAGACTTTTAAAAATAAAACCTATAACAGGCACTTCATCCCAGAAGATACGCGATTTAACGATGCTTTTTCCTTTGTCCTGTCTCCCAGCGAGTAACACGTAGATCTGAATCAGATCGCCTGGCGGGACGGGGGTCACAGCACATGGTCCCTCCACTCCTTTCACAGCGTCTGCTGGCTTTTAAGAAATGTTTCTCAGGAATGCTTTTGTCAAGTGCGCCGCAAGACTCTCAGGAGCCCTTGAGGTTTATGCAGAGACATTCAAACTAGACGTCTCCTTCTGGGGTAATTTTTATTTTTAACGTCACTTAGAACAAAAGGAAGGGAAGAGATGGAAATAGGTTTTCCGACCGTGACTTTCCCACTAAGGGTGGAAGTTGGTGATAATTAGCACAGAGGAAGCTCCTTTTCATTAGCTGATCATTCCAACTGCTCTTGACAGACACACTGGATGCCCTGGCCGGCAGGATATCCTCGGGGAAATCTCAGGCCTGATGACTAAAACATTCAGAGCAAGGTCCTTGACCTTGACGTCAATGTCCACTTCGCCTCAGCAGCACAGCGTTTGCACTGTGGGCAAGAGCGAGGGTCCAGTCCGTGGGGACGAAGGTCTGATTCAGATTTTCTCCAGACTCTTCCTGGCCCTTCCCCAGGGCGGAAGCTGGATGGAATTTGTGAAATGTCCCATCTGTCAGAAGCTCAAGATAAACTCCTCAGAATGTCACCATCCTCACACCCACCACGATGGCTAGAACTTCTAAGAAAGGGAAAAGAGCGAGTGCTAGCAAGGGTATGGAGAAATCTGGAACCCTCACAAACTGCTGCTGGGAATGGACGTGATGCAGCCATTGTGGGAAGCAGTCTGGCAGTTCCTGAAAAAGTTAGACAATTGCCAGAAGGCACAGCCATTCCGTTCCGAAGTCTGTACCCAGAAGAATCGAAAACAGGCACTCACACAGGTAATTGTACGTGCATGTCCACAGTAGCACGAGCCACAGTGGCCCTAAGGTGGGAACCCCGTAAATGCCCGTGAATGGATGAAATGGACAAATTGTGGTCTCTCCGTACAATGAGTTTGATTCAGCCGTGGAAGTGAATGGGGTACTGCAGGTGCTACCCCATGGGAGAACCTCAGAAATTCTATGGTAAGTGGAAGAAGCCAGGCACAAAAGGTCACGTATCATACATATGACTCCATATATGTGAAATACCCAGAATGGATAGATCCCATAGACACGGAGAGCAAACAGCAAATGTAGGGGCAGTGAGGAGTGTCTGCTCAGTGGGTACGGGGTTTCCGTTTGGAGTGATGGGAATGTTCTAGACCTAGATAGAACTGGTGGGTAGAGAACACTGTGAATGTGCTAGAAGCCCCTTTCAAGGGTCTGTGTTACGTTACGGGAGTTTCACAGTGATCGCACGCCTCAGAAGAGGAAAGGCTCATTCCAAAAGCCAGACTTCCCATCCAAGAAACAAAGGCTGAAAAGAAGTTTACTGACAATGGCAGGAAAGTGACTACATGATGTCGCTATCACTTTTCCCATCAAAGGGAACCAAGGAGAGGTTACTGAAGGCACGACAAGAATGTGGTTTTTCATGACGAAGACACACATGTTCTGCTGTGGTTAACAGTAGGTGCCGCTCCTAGTTGGAGGCGTGCAGTGAGCCCCCCAGATGGGGATGAACTTTGTAGATGGTAAAAGTGACAGTGTTACTGAAGAACATTTTACGCCCAAAAGGACGCTCGCTGTGCGAGCCTTACCATGACTGGGGGCATTCGAGGGCTTGGGGCATACCGCATAATCACAAGAAGGTGGTATTCTAACAGTGCCAACAAAACAAAAACGATTACGACTGGAGAAGATCCGTAAAAATCAGAATCAAAGCACGTTTTGTCCCCACACTTCCAGCAAATGTAGCATGTGGAAGGCCCTGAGCGCTAGCCTAGGGTGAGCCTGGGGTTCGTGTGTTCATGGTCAGGGCTACCCACCTTCCAATACAACCCTCCTCAACGAGGGGGAGACAAGAAAGCGGCGATAGCCCCCTTCTACCGCGTTGTTCAAAGACACGGAATACCCTGGCTTCACCACTGCCTGCGATGCTTGCACTCAGACGGAGTATCTGGTGAGTTCCGCCTCGACCGGACCCTCCGGAACACGAGGAGGGTAGAGCCAGAAAACCCATCATCTCCAGAACTGACCTGGCCCAGAGGGAGCCCTAAGGGGGCATCCCAAAACACCCTTTGTTGGAGGAGGCAGGGGTCCCGAGCTTCGGGGCAGGTCTCATCCATCGACTCGATCTTAACCTCCATCCGTATCTTCCGCCTCAGAGAAATTCTGACCGCTTCCCCCGCACCTGGGCCCCACGTCCACAGGCATCGGCAGTGTTGGGAGGTGAGGCCCCCACACCCCCCGGCCAGGTGAATAATCGCCCGTGGCGTGGATGGACCCCATTTTGTATACTCACCGTCTCCCAGGGAACGCCGTGCACCTGCCCTTTGGCTGCTGGGGAAGATGCTACAGCGAACACAGTCGTCCAAGCTCCTGTTCGGTCTCCACTCCCAGCGATTTTGAGGATTCTCTCTGAAGTGGGTTGCTGGATGGAATGGCAATTCTCTATTTAATTTTTGAGGACCCACCATCCTGTTCCACATCGGCCATGCCGTTTTACGTCCCCACGCGCAGTGCCGAGGGCTCTGATTTCTCCATGTGCTCACCAGCACATCATTTTGTCTTTTTTTTAAATAATGGCCACTCATGTCCGATGGCCACGGGCGTGGATTGTTACAGGCTTCAGACACCTTTAATGTTTCTGTGTGTGTGTGTGTGTGGTATGTCTGTAGACGGAAGATTATCTGATCACTTAAACATCTGGGGATCATTTTGATACCTGAGTGCCATATACATTTCCATCCTGTTACAGGCATTATACTGAGTAGAGATAAAATATTGGAAATTTGTTTGGAATTTTCTTGTTAACTGAGAACACATTTTTTATTTTAAAAAAGAAGCCAGGTAAGGGGTGCCTGCGTGGCTCAGTCAGTTAAGAGTCCGACTTCGGCTCAGGTCATGATCTCACGGTCTGTGGGTTCGATCCCCGCGTCGGGCTCTATGCAGACAGCTGGGAGCCGGGAGCCTGCTTCAGATTCTGTGTCTCCCTCTCTCTCTGCCCTTCCCCTGCTCACGCTCTCTCACTCTCTCTCTCTCAAAAATAAATAAATAAACATTAAAATCTTTTTTAAAAAGCCAACTAAGCTGATTCTTTCATCCCAACCTAATGCCAGCATTTCACGGTAACGCGACATTAGTGATCTAGGATATGTTTTTCTCACATTTAACATGGTTCTTTTCTTTTAACACTCTAGGCCTTCCTTCTTAGCCAGAAGTCACTCTGTGGCAATTGTGGCAGGAGATAGAACTGTCTACATGTGACGTTCCCTGGACATCATAGCTCTCTGAGAATGAAAAGCGTCGTTTCAAAAGCAGCACGCTGGAAAATGCTCGTCTGTTGTTATTAACCGTGATTAAACTCTGTTGTTTCTGCAGGGCCAGCCAGGGCCAGTGGGCCCCCAGGGGTACACCGGGCCCCCAGGCCTGCAGGGATTCCCAGGACTGCAGGGCCGCAAAGGTGACAAGGGCGAGAGGGGGTCACCGGGGATCACAGGACCGAAAGGAGATGTGGTATGATGACTTCTCATTTTCCCTCCACTTTTGCGACGGGCAGTGGGTGTCCCGGCCCACAGTGAGCTTGTCTGCCTTCCTTACAGGGAGCAAGAGGCGTTTCCGGATTCCCTGGTGCCGACGGAATTCCCGTAAGTGTTTTGTAAGATTTTGTAGTATTTTAAAACACCGAACACGTGCTAAGCAAGCTCCTGACTTACAGAAGCATTTCTACCTAGGCCTCCTGTTTGGTTTACACAATGAAGTAGGGCTCTCAGTGCATCCTTTTTCCGCTGGAGTCCTCTCAAATATGGCACAGATTGGTTCCTTTGTAAATGTTCTTCTACACTTGGCTTCGGAATCGAAGCCGGTTTTCGGCGAAAACCGGACCTGGTTTTGTAATGGAAGGCTAGCACGTTAGATATGCTCAATCAGAATGCGGCTTGACATTTTGTTGGAACCGTAAAGCGACCTGAACATAAAGGGGCACGGCCGAGATGGTGGGTGGGAGGACGCCCTCTGCTGGACGTTGGTGACGCTTCCCCAGTTCTCTAGTGAACCATGCGTAAGTGAGAAGAAAAGACAGGGTTTGTCCATGAGAAAATCTCAAAATGCAATAAAATGTGTTTTTCTAACCTAGTTTACTTTACTTCTTGTGGCATAAAAAAAATAAATAAATAAACACAGCGGCCTGTCTCTCAACCTCTTTCACAAGGATCCGTGAGCAGATTCCCAGGGTCTGCCTCCTACGGATCCCAGCCGCGGGGACAGATGTGTTTATGACACATGCTTTCGCCTGCTGCTGAGGTTTGAGGACATCTGCTTCAGGAACCTCCCTCGTGTGCACACATCCGAGCCCTTACCCCACATGCCCACACCCCCTGCCCCTGTGTTAGCACGCACATCTACACACGTGTGCACACGTAACAGATGCATTCCCGGGGCTGTGGAAGCAGGACAGCCGCCTTGTAGGAGGGAACACAGAAGAGCCATCACAGAGAGGCTGTGCATCACAGAGAGGAGGTTCTTCAGAATGCCGGCTGCACACCCAGGAGGCTGTGCAGCGGTACAGGAAGGCGGTCAGGGCTACAGACAGGCCACACGCAGACCTGAGGCCCGTGTGACGGTGACCTGACCCGGAGCGTCCCCTGGACGGGGGCTCACACGCACCAGTTAGGACACACAGCTGTGTGAACAAGTAAGGTAGTCACTTCCCCATTAGTCAGAGTCAAAGAATCTGTAGATTTTCAGGGGTAAACAAATAACGATAGCATTTTCCTACCAACCGCCTGCAACGAAACCACCTATTCTTAAACCGCTTTCTTGAGCTCTTTGGGCCGCCGTGTCGGTTTTGTCTTCTGGAAGTCGAAATCTGAGTTTAAAAGGAGGGATGTGGAAAAACAGTATAGCTGCTCTGAGTCATATTTGGTTTTTCCACTGTATGCCCATTTACTCTGAGGAGGAAATAGTTCACAAGTTGGAGAGGCAGTATCTTCGCATGTGAGAGTGGTCACAGTAAGCAGGTAACCGAGCGGTTTCCGCAGAATCTCCGTGCTGCTGACAATGGCCTCGCCCGCTGACCACAGGACTCTGGAACTGCACATACGTGGACCCATGTGCCATCTGCCCCCGGGCTAATTTTAGCCACTTAGGAGCCATATATAAAATGTGATGTGCAGTCAGATCTTAAGAGCCGTGTCCAGTTAGATGTTGAACATGAGACGGGCGGTCGGTTCAAGGTAATTGCAATTTTTCTTTGAAGAACAGTCTCCAACTAACGTCTGACTGACACGCCATGTCACATGACTTAGATCAGTTCCAAGGGAGCAAGAAAGGCCCACAGGAGACAGATCACTCCGGAGAGGAGTGAAGAACTCGAGTTACGAAAAGCATCACGGAAGACCGCACAGGTCGTGAGCAGAGCACCCACCGGGCTTGTTTTCTCAGGCTGAATTTGAAGGATCAGCTTTCAGAGACCCCTAAAAAAAGGCCTGTAGTTGGCCACTACCAAGGCAGCTGGCTGCACTCTCAGCTGAAGAGATGGATGGTACCCCGTGATTTCCAGGGCAGCGGGGATTTCTCTCGTCTACCAGGGGATTGGCTGTTGGATCTGTGCTTGTCTGAGGGTCCCAGTTAAAGCAGCGGCTTTGAGTGTCTAAAGGAGAGCGATGAGAGGCAGACAACGAAATTAAAATGCAACTCTTCTCGTTGTGTTTCTTAATATCGTTCAGGGTCCAGGCACTCTATATAGGATTCGTTCATTTCTCTTGAAATGTCCCAAATTTCTCAAAGTAAGTGTAAAAGGCATCCTAATGGGGCCTCAAAAAATCCACTCTGGAATGTATGCTTGGTCCATTGTCAGCAAAAGCAAAATTTCAGAGAGATTAAGAAGATGGCATATATCTAAACACGTGCCGTGGGAGGAAACAGCAAAATAGGCCGTGGTCTCGTAGTACGTAAGCGGCAGGCAGGTCATTAACTCAGCCTGACTCCCTAGCTATTCAAAAGACATTTGGTCATGCTGCCTTCCCTCCCCTCCCCCACCCCGACATCTCTGAACATCAGATGTTGCTTTGATTGGCTTTATTCGAAAGCAAATAAGAGGAAATCAGTTCTTCTACATACGGCGAAGTCATGGATGAAATCCCATCGGGGGGCAGGGGGAGTGTGAATCTCTTTCCTGTGTAGGATGTGAGTCTGTCACCTCACCCTCTACAGTTCACTTGGGCACAAAAGATGGGGCCCCTTGTTGTCCTTGAAAGACCTAGCCGCTTCCAGAGTGCCTTCTAGAAGTTTTAAATCTACCGTGACCCGTCCCTGCTGACACAGACCTCCCGATAGACCGGCGGTAACGGACTTCTTTACCCAGCCCGTGGCAAACAGAACTTCGTCCTGACGGCCTTTCTCCTGCTCAGAACCGAACCTGTGTGCCTCCATTTACTTAATCTTTCATTCACCCACCTGCTGGTTTTGAGTTCTCTTTGCCCTTGGGTTCATGCAGGGTGGGAAGATTTAGAAGTGTTTTATCACGCTCTCATGAGAACGCCAGACCGTGTGCTAGAAGGCTCACCTACTCTTCTCTCCCAGGGACACCCGGGGCAAGGTGGGCCCAGAGGACCACCTGGTCACGATGGCTGCAACGGGACGAGAGGAGACGTGGGCCGCCAGGGACCCGTCGGCCCCGGGGGGTTCGCTGGCCCTCCTGTGAGTATCAGGGCAGCGGGTGCGGCTGGGGTGGTGAACTCCAGGAGCTGGGGGGGCCGGCCCTTGTACGCAGACGGGTGGAGGATGTGTGGTGTGCCTTTCACAGGCCCATCCAGAAGGCCCTTTTCGAAATTGTGTCAGAGAGACTTTCCAAGGAGGGCGGGTTGGCTCCTGTGGACCCCTCGGCCGGGGCAGGTGTGCTCAGCCCGGCTCCTGCACCCCCAGGCAGGTGCTCCCCCGTCCCTAGGCAGCGGTCAGGATGCACACGTTCCTGCGGACATCTCGGCATGATTTTCCTGCGTCCAGAGAACTTCATTTTCCAAATTTATTCTGTAAACGAGATGGAAAATAATCCGTGTGGTTCGTATCGTGCAGTTTTACCTGTGTCCTTGCATTTCCCCCCATGCTACAATTCAAGTAACAGGGAAGAATTGGGCAAGAGCAAAAACAAAATCAAAAGGCTTAATTAGAGCTTGACAGGATGCCGTTAGCCCCCGTCTTGTTAGATTCTAAACTCCTCTGTGACACGGAAACAGCCCCTGCAGGTAGAAGTGTGCTTTTTTTTTCTTTTTAATGGAAAACTTCCATGTATTCATCTGTTTCGTAGACTCAGTTTTCAGGTCTTTGCAAAGAATCTTGAAGTGTTTTCCATTTCTGTATGGCTGCCTTCTTGCCATCAAAATATTGCAAAGTCAGGGTTTTGCCAACATCTTATTTGGCAAAACTCTTTATTTAAGAAAACATTTCTAAGACTGGGGAAGAATATTCACACGTTCCTCCCCGCATGTTTCCCCCTGAAGTTCGTGGATTTCTCTTATTCTCACTTCTCCTCCCCAGTCCTCTCCCTGGGTTGTCTTTTATGTGTGGGTCACCTTGTCAACGAGGACCATCACTTTCCAGTCTGCTGTAATGTCATGAAACTATCATTATCAATAAATATAACCATCCCTTTAAAATAGTGATTTTATACGGGCGCCTGGGTGGCTCAGTCGGTTAAGCGTCAGACTTCGGCTCAGGTCCTGATCTCACAGTTCGGGAGTTCGAGCCCCATGTCCGGCTCTGTGCTGACGGCTCAGAGCCTGGATCCTGCTTGGGATTCTGTCTGTGTGTGTGTGTGTGTGTGTGTGTGTGTGTGTGTGTCTCCCTCTGCCCCTCCCCCTCTCACACTCTGTCTCTCCATGTGTCTTAAGACAAAGTTTTAAAAAAAATTTTTTTAATACTGATTTTATACACAGGCATTGAAAGACATTCATCCACATACAATGTGCACACGTACTGAGTGTATTTGTCACAGTTCCACTTTTACAGAATGACCCAGCATCTTTCCCAAAAATGGTGCTTCAGAACTTATGTCTTAATATCTTTAGCACCCTTATGCCCAAGAAAAGACAAAGTGTATTATTACAAAGAGAAACAACATGTTGGCATCCTGAAGGATTCGTTTACTGAGCATCCTTTTGGGTTTTTGTAAATAACCTAAGTCCTTTAAAATGTTTCCATTTTAGGGGCGCCTGGGTGGCGCAGTTGGTTAAGCGTCCGACTTCAGCCAGGTCACGATCTCACCGTCTGTGAGTTCGAGCCCTGCGTCAGGCTCTGGGCTGATGGCTCAGAGCCTGGAGCCTGTTTCTGATTCTGTGTCTCCCTCTCTCTCTGCCCCTCCCCCGTTCATGCTCTGTCTCTCTCTGTCCCAAAAATAAATAAACGTTGAAAAAAAAAAATTAAAATGTTTCCATTTTAACTTTGAAGGAAGATACTATTGGGTAAATACGAAAGTCTCATCTTTGTGGCTGAATGTAGGACTGGTGTTCAGAATAACCCAAATAAGCCATAAGGACCACTGACATTGCCCATAACAGACAATGTCTAATCACCCACATGGCTAGCACTGCACTGAGTGTTCACGGGCCTTTCTGTGTTTTCTCTGTCTTCCACGTCCTGTCTACCATAGGGGCCCCAAGGACCCAAGGGGCAGAAAGGTGAGCCGTACGCGCTTTCCAGTGTGGACCGCGACAAATACAGGGTATGTTCGCTAGAGGTGGGACTCGTGCCTGAGCTATCAGCATAATTCCTAAGTAATAACAAAACTTCCCTAGTATGGCTGAGCTATAAGCAAGTGCCTCTGGGGTGGTAGAACAGCCCAGCACCATGAAGACTCTAAAAACCTTTGATTTCTATCCTGGGGCGCCTGGGGGGCTCAGTCAATTAAGCATCCAACTCTCTCAGGTCACGATCTCACCGTTCGTGGGATCAAACCCCAGGTAGGGCTCTGTGTTGACAGTATGGATCCTGATTGGGATTCTGTCTCTCTCTCTCTCAAAATAAGTAAACTTAAAAAAAATCATCGATTTCCCATCGGGGTGACATTTACCTGTGGGTGCACAACTTTCCAGTCTGTATTCACAATGCCCCAGATAAAGGGTAGCATTACCAAGCCCCTGGCGGGGCTGATATATTTTCCGAATTTGTTTCCAAAGTTGTGATAAAATGTAACTAAATCTAAAGACACTTAAAAACCAGAACTCTTGGAGCGCCTGGGTGGCTCAGTCGGTTAAGCGTCCGACTTCAGCTCAGGTCACGATCTCACCATCCGTGAGTTCGAGCCCCGCGTCGGGCTCTGTGCTGACTGCTCAGAGCCTGGAGCCTGTTTCAGATTCTGTGTCTCCCTCTCTCTCTGACCCTCCCCCGTTCATGCTCTGTCTGTCTCTGTCTCAAAAATAAATAAACGTTAAAAAAAATTTTTTAAATAAATAAAAACCAGAACTCTTAAAATTATTTTCTCTCAACTAGGGTGAACCTGGGGAGCCTGGATTGGTCGGTTTCCAGGTAAGGTCTATTTTCATTAGAGAATGTTCCAAGCAGAATGTCAAGAACTCAGGACTGCACAGAGGACTGTCCCTCTCCTAACAGCCTTCCTTTTTGCCTGTACGCAGGGGCCTCCCGGCCGCCACGGGCCTGTGGGACAGATGGGTCCGGTTGGAGCTCCAGGAAGACCAGTAAGTGGCAGGTGCCCGGCTCATTCTCAGGGGGCCATCAGGGTGTCCCCTAGACACACGGCTTCTTCAGTTGTTGATGCATGTGGAAGCGTCACGATACATCTCGGATGCTTGTGGTCACGATGGAGACTGTCGAGACAAAACAGGTCCTCTCTCGCATGCGTTTTGCTGCTGTTAAGGTTGAGGAATGAGGACTTGAAATTTGTGGGCACTAGATCACCACCAAGCATGTCCAGTGTGGAGATGGTGCTGGCTGGGCCCCCTTCCAGTCTAGACGAGCTCTCTCGGCCCCACACCCAGCCAGCTGATGGCGGGGGCGGGGGGGTGCGCGCAGGGGAGGGGCTGTCACCCCTGGGCCAAGCACATCAAAGTCCGACAGGTGGATAAGAAGAAATGGTCTCTGCCTGGGCGTGGCCATCGTGACAGCTGTACCACACCTGGGCGTGGCCATCGTCACAGGTGTGCCACACCTGGGAGTGGCCATCATTGCCAGTGAGATGTTACACATCAGTTGGCAAAACGGCCCCAGTGGCCGCCTGAAGGGGTTCCCGGCCCGTGCAACTCAACGGACAGAGTGAGTGGCACCCGCACAACACGGGGGTGAAGGAGGGCTTGCTGCAGGGAGGGAGAGGATGAGAAAACAGAGGTGCTGGTGCCCATGAAGCCCCCCAGACCACTTCCCCCATCGCCCACCAGCCCGGCACGAAACCACCCCCACTGGGTGTCTGCCCCTCGTTCCCTGGAAGTTTAGCATCAAGACAAATGGGCCTTGAACAACATTGGGGGAGGTCCGGGTCCAGGTGAGAGAGACCTTGTCGCAGAAAACCGGAGAAGCGAGGATCGCGCGATGCCAGGTTCTTTGCTCCCCCGCCGCGTACAGCTGTCGGCCTGCCCACGGTACACACGCCACATGGGCAGGAGTTGGTCTTTAAATACACAGTTCAGGGAAATCTGAAGCAGGGGCCTGTCCCCGCCGTGTCCTGAGCTGATCTGACGGCTTCAGGTTCTTCTACGGGCCATTAGAATCGCCCACGCTTCCTTGTGCTTAAACGCTAACCGCCCGTCTCGTGCGTGTTTAACACCTCATCCTAAGTGTGGCGTTGACACTGAACACTTTGCAGAAAGACCGTGGTGTTTGCAGATGGACTTTCAACCCTGCAGTTCGGACCCGCAGGTTAATTCTGCCCGTGAACATTTGCTGACCCCTCCAGCAAAACATGCTAGGAGGTCAGGGGAGGCAGTGTCCACGGTGACAGGGCCTGGGACCTTGCGGGGGGTCCGAGCAGGCAGGAGTTAGGACCCGGGTGAAGTCAAAAGTCTGAACTCAGAAGAGCAAACCCAGAACAGCTGTAGGTGGACAGCTGGCAAATTCTGAGAGGCAGGCCCGCCCCTGGTCCTCTGCCCTCCAGCCCGTCCTCCCCACCGAGGCAGGTAGACCGGAAACCTCTCTACATACTACACGGTGTTCTAAATATACACAGAATGGCTTTCCCAGAGCTTTCCAGCAGAAGTTATCTGGGTCCTGGGATAAAGAAAACAGTTTACAGATTTCTTTGTATTTGTGCAGGGCCCGCCTGGACCCCCTGGACCTAAAGGACAGCCGGTAAGTCGGTGACGGGGGCGGGGTGGCTTACACACTTGTGTGCACTTTTCCTGACCATAGGACTACTTGGTTGACAACGACGTATCGTTTATTTCGTGATGAAAATGATTCTGTAGGTTTTTAAGACCAAAAAAATCACATCCCACTGCCGTCCTGTGGAAATCACACTGATGAATGTTTGATTAGCAATGTAGACGCAAGACCAGCTCGTGTGTATCCGAATGTGTCAGTGCACCAGAGGGGACAAAATGTGGCTGTGTTTGTGCGGGGTGGGGAGCCAGTGGCATTCCTGCCCAGATATAACCAAGCTCTTTGTGCCAGAGGGTGACACCAGCCCCCAGGGAGCTAGTCCGTGATTTTCAAGTCAGGCTTGAGCCCAAGGCCATACTGTTCCCACCCAAGAAAGATGATTAAGTTGGATGAAGTACAAGAAAGGAGGTGGCTTGTCAGAACCTATAGACGGAACTAGGGTTCAGTGTCAACGGGGAAAGTTGGATAAATATCTAAGACCAAGAGCAGGCAGGTGGGGAAGGGGATGGGTGATCAGAAATGCTGGCTGCAGCTGCCAGTGTGCAAGGACCATCCCGTGGCCTGCGCGTGGCCGGGGACATCCCCAAGCCTGCATGTTCCCATGTCTGCTCTACGGAAACCTCATCTCTTTGGCCTCCGGGGGACCTCAGCATCCACCGTCCCCCTCCTCTGCTCCCATCACCTCTGACCTGGCTTCCGGCTGGGGCTGGAGCTCATTAAGGCTGCTGCCCCCACCGCTGGGCTCCCCACTGTCTCGCGGCCACGAGCAGGGTGGGAACGGCCCCGAGCCAAGAGAAGCGGATGTGGGACGGGGCCGCCCAGCCCCAGGGTCGCCTCAGATCCCCGCTTGGCTGCAGCACAAACAACCCTCGCCGTCCACCAGGTCACTTCCTGGGGACTTGGGCGGCCGGCTCGCGAGGCAGAGGGACAGCGGGGGCCCCCGGCAAAGCGCATTCTGATCTGGCCCGGCTGCCTTGCTGTGCTTTGATTTCAGCTCCCAGCCAGGTGGGAAAGGAGCAAAATAGCAAAAATTAATTAGGGGTTTTGTTTGTGTTTTTTGGAGAATATCTGGGCATCGGAGGGGGAGCGGGGTACCGCAGAGAGAAGGAGCAGATACGGCCCCACGCCATCCTTTGTCTTGGTGGGAATGTGGGGGCCCTGGGGAGGAAGCCGAGTTGTTTGCAGGCCAAAGAAAAGAGCGCTATTTCTAGAACATGTGTAAGTGTGTAGCACAGCTGCTCCTGGACTTGGGGGTCAAGTCAGTTCTCGAACACATGTCCCCCCCACTTGTGAATCTATTAAGTACGTGACAAGTCGGGGGCCCCAGCCAGAGAATCCCCAGCCCCTAAAGTCATGCAAAGGGTCAGATGTGTTTGTGGAATCAGGATTATCTTACCAAAATGACAAAAGGCTGAGGCAGAAGGGAGACTGAATCCTGATCCTGAGATCTGGGATCCAGGGGGGGGGGGG